TTTCATCTTTTCTTTCTCCAATAAGTCTAGCATAGGCACCTTTTTCCTTTCCTTAGATTAATTTTGTAGATTCTTTATTTTCTTCTAATAAAATGAGCATCTATTTCCTTGCACATGATCATTTCATTACATTGCATTTAAAAAGAAAAAAAAATCCATGTCGAATTAAGCACAAGGTATACCAATGATTTGAGGCACCCCTTGTAGCCACATCACATCTCCTTTCGCCCTTCAATTATACAATCCTTTCTTCATAAACCACTTTGAGCCTCGTCTAACGATAGACCCTTCTTTTTTCAACATACATCTACTTAACCTTGGGATGGGTTGGCGTGCAACTTATGCAATTCTAAAGAAAGCTTGAGCAATTCAAAAGAAAGCAATAGAAAAAAATAAGCAATAATAAAAAAACGAAAACAAGTATACAAAAGAGCAAGTGTTCCAATGTCTTTGATATGAAAATATATTCGATAAGAACACGTCTCAGATTGCGTCTCTTATCGAGTGCTCGGTACCGTGCCTGAGAAACATGAATGCCAAGTGAGTGATAGACCGCATGATCGGGATTGCCCACACTTATAAAAATAAAATAAATGCTAAAGCAAAAAGAGCTAAAAAAGAGTAGAAACTCAAACATAAAAATACAAATATTCAAAAGCAAGGTTGCACACCTTGGGAGCTTATCTAGGTTCTTGAGCCTTTATGCCCTTCTTCTTCAAACCTTTAGCCTAACCACGCTACAACCCTTAAAAAGACCTTTTTTGAGGTATACACACTTGTGCGAGGTTCGGCTAGAGCTACGTTCGGCCTGATTCCTAACGGATACGTAGGCAACCTCACATCGAGGTGCGGCCGTAATAAACATGCATTCATATTCACATTCACACACTTGCACCATGATCATATCAAGGAATCTCCAATGCTCATCCCTTTTCATTTAGAGCTAGATTTGGGGGCTTGATCCCTATATTATTAGCTTACCTAGCCTAAGAGTCACCACCATTTGACTCTTTTCAATATATTTTTCCACACACTTAGCTCTTGCGGCCTAGCTTTAGTGTCACTATCACACACTGCACACATACATGACCAAATATATTTCCCTTAGGAACCCTTTGTCATGAAATCTTAACGCTGAAGCATGCTTCGTCAAAATCACTCATAAATAATAATCATCATAGCATCACAAAGTACGAAGTGCTTAGCCTCCGTGCCTAAATTACCCAAATACTTTCATCATTGAGTCAACCATTGAGATAGCCTAGGATGAATTAATCCTTGAACCTTGAGAGATAGTATCAAATGACATTTGACTAAGCTCATTCAACATGCATCTTCAAACTTCGATTCTTTTTCGCGTCTTTCTTTTTCGGGAGAAAGTCGGTACCTTCCACAAAAATGACGGAAATTTTTTGCTTTTTTGCATTTTTCGAGTCAACACAATGCACACACAAGTCATGTACACATTGAGTCATGTCGTGTCATATCACTTTGATTTGAGTCTAACACATATGTCAAACAGTTTGAGTCGAGTCAACCTCGAGTCAGTCGATCACATGAATCAAGTTTATGCCTTGAGTCGTGTCAAGTTGATGAGTCAAGCAACGTTAAGCCTTAGGTCAACCCTAAGATGATTAAAGAGATTGGCAAAGTTCTATAGTCAAAATAAATACAGGTGCAGCAGAACAGGGAAGACTCTATCGCAGCGTTCGCGACGAACAGAGCAAGAAATAAAACGGAAAATTGAATTTAAAGGAGAATCCGTGCTGGCGCCAGTCCCTAGGCATTGGCGTCACTTTCTGTGCTTGGCGCCAGACGCCAATTCCAGCGCCTGGCGCTAATGCCATATGTTTGGCGCTGATTGATTTTTAGCGACGCCAAAGCAGCCAGCCACCTGTTGGGGTTGTGCTAGCCTTCTGCAATATATTTTTGGGTTCCTTGGTACGCTAGTTAGCCCCTATAAGCAATATTGACATGATTAAGTAGTCAGTTTGATTACAATTGCAATAAGTGATCGACCTGATGAAAGATCGTCTCACTTAGCTTAAAGCGCCTAAGCATTGGCTCAAAAGCAGAAAAGGCACCGACGTATAGGTTCAAAGCAACGAAAGCGCCGACGTACAGGCATAGCGGAAGCAAAGTTCGAGCAAGCTTTAAAGATCGACAAGTGTTGGTCTTCGGTATTTTTCCTTTGGGAAAATTATCGCATCAAATGAGGATGACTTCAAGTAAAGTTATTTTCGACAGCGTTCGCTAAGATTGTGGAAGTTGTCACCAAAGATTTGAGAAGATGGCACGAGATGGGCGGTCTTCGACGGCATTCGCTAAAATTGTGGAGGTTGTCACCCAAGATTTGAGAAGATAGCACGAGATGGGCGGTCTTCAACAGCATTCGCTAAGATTGTGGAGGTTATCACCCAAGATTTGAGAAGATAGCACGAGATGGGCGGTCTTCGACGGCATTCGCTAAGATTGTGGAGGTTGTCACCCGAGATTTGAGAAGATAGCACGAGATGGGCAGTCTTCGACGACTTTTGCTATGATTGGAAAGGTTGTCACTATGATTCAAGAAAAGGCTCAAGATGTAGCAACATTGATCGACGGCGTTCCCTAGATTGCGGAAGATCGTCAAAACAAACAGCAAGGTGGCGTTCCCTAGATTGTGGAGAGTTGTCACAAACAACTGAGGATTGTTTCAAGAGAAATAATCTTCGATGGTGTTCCCTTGGACGTGGAATATTATCACAGCGGAGAAGGTAGTTTCAGGCGAAGCAATCTTCTAATTTGGAAGCAGTTACGGGCGTAGCGGTTTTCAAGCGGGATGGCATTCTCTAGCTTGCAGGAGGTCATCAAAACAGCAACAGCAACAGTCGGTTACTTTCAGAGACGTGCTTGACGGTGCAAGATACGCGTTTCTTAACTCTTTTATCTGTTTAACTAATGCTAGTTTTGCAGGTATCGGCGTTATAAGATTGATTTAGGATCGCAGAACGTTCTGAATCATTCTCCGTCCCTATCGATACTTTGGCTTTCGTTTTCGAAACTTGTGTTTCTCCAAACTCAGTCAAAGTGGGGGCTTCTGTAGACACCCATTTGTGTCTCCCCAAAACCAAACCCAGTGATAAGTGTCTTTCACGTCGAATCATAATCGAATGAAACGAAAGTGTGGAAAGGTCTAGTGTTGCGGAAAGTTTTATTTTATTTTCTTTTCTCTTCTCTCTGTTTTTGAAAACTTTATTTTAAGAAAACAGTCAATCCAGTTTGGTTGGTCCATGATATGGGTCCAATAGTGGGGTAGTTGGATGGGGTTTGCAAAGACCTTTCCAACGATATATTATAAGCTCAATTCCGATGAATATTGAGGAATTTATGGCCAATTTACTAAACTAGGCCCGATTTGAGCTTTAAGTACGGCCCAATGATCTAGGGGAGGGCCTAATATGATTTATCTTTCCTAATATAATTAGGAATGGTTTTAGTCTTCTAGAACATTCTAGAAGGTTCTTATCATTCTTAATTCAATTAGGATTCTTCAAAGTTTTAATTAGATCAAATAACATTTTCAACTGAAATTATATTATTTTATCTTCCAGTACGGGAAATTTATCGGATTTTCGAAAACGCGTTAAAAGCCGGTTTGGCGTCCAACCCCAGGCCTTGGCGCCTGGAATCAGGATTGGCGCCAGACGCCAGCCATTGGCGCCTGGCGCTAGCCACTGGTCCTAGCGCCAATGAGCCAGGGCTGGCGCCAAGGTTGGTTTTCGATCTTCAGGCTCTGTTTTGATAAATTATCTTTTTTTGGATGATTTTCTCTATAAATATCGTATCAAAAACTCCGTTTTGATTCATCATCTACATCTATCGTTCACCAATTCTCTTTATTCTCAAGTTTTTATCAACTATCTTCATCATCGATCATCAACTCTCTTCATTCATAAATCGTTCATCAAGTCTTTTCATTCATTCATCTCTTTCATCAATAATTCTTAACATTCATTCTTTCTTTTCTAAACCTTACTTTTTCATACAAAATTCCGCATTCACAAGATCTTGAATACACCTAGCCATATTCGAAGTTGTCTTCGCCCTAGACGTGAAAGGTTTTAATTTCTGAGGGTTTGGTCTCAAATCTCTCTTTCAATTATTTAATTTAATTGCTTTGATTATTATTTTTTTTCCTTGAAGTTACTAACGTGTGTATTTTGTAATTAGAAAGAGGTACGAGACATCCAAGTAAGTACTTTGATGGTTTAATTGATTCCATGATGTAGATATCATGCTTAGATTGTTATTTATGATTCCTAGTATCATGTCTAGGGTATCTTTAATATTAAGTATGATTAAAAGTATGATGCTTCCTATGTTCTTCCTAATATTTATGATTATGATTGATTATTATTATTATTTATTATGTTTCTTGATACATATTATATTTATTCTTTATTGCTTGATCACACCTAAATTGCATGTTTAAAGGGAATTGGTACTTGCAATCGCGCTTAATAAGATATTAATAATCTTGTTTAGGGTAATTGTGATTATAAATTCAAGTGATCGCCAATAATAGATTTATTTGTGCATTAAATTCAACCAACATAGATTAAACAGGTTTAGGGTTAATCCTATTGATTGTATGTTAGTCAGAAAGCGCACGTGAATACGAGCAGAATAAAGTAGAGGCCTATTATTAGAGCAGGTTCAATCTCTTTTAGGTTGGATTTGTACCATCATCCCTGAACCCTTATTTTGTTCATGACCTTATGGAGTTGACGATCTCTTGGATCGTTAAGGGGTGTAACCTTCATCCTATGAACGGTTTACAAGTTCCTTAAAAACTTGTTGGCGACTCTTTTGCTCTATCTTCTTCCTTTTTGGACGTCACCGTACTTTAGTGTATGATCACAGTGGGGTTCAAGGTAGTGGGATTTTAAAGGCTTGAAACTATTCCCTACACCATGATACCAAAAAGCAATAACAAATCAACAGGGTCGAAAACAGAGGAAGGCAAACTAAAGGTAGCAATATATTGTTACTTATATTAGCAACCAAGAAGTAAATCTATATACAGAAGTACATTCAATACAATTTCAGTACATTTAAATATACTAAGCACATACCCATTAGGTCACAAATTGAACGCCATTGCAAACTTGCACAAACTTCCAATAATCGCCCTTCAATGAATGCACCAGCTTGTTACTTTTATATATACTACTTCCCTATTATCACTCACTTAGATAAACCCTGGTATACACAAAAAAAATTGTTCTATTATTGGCAATGTAGCACCCTTAGGGCTTTCAAATACACTCTTTCAGCTAACATTCTAATATAGAGTGCCAATTCCCAACAACTCTTAAACCAAGTAATCAAATTGATAGCTCATGATCTACAATTTTACACAAATAGAGAAAGAATCACATGATACAGAGTACTAATTTTACATATAATAGCTAAAAGACAAATGTACTAAACAAATCAAATATTTGTTTCTTAATTTTAACTATTTCAATTGTATAATTGAAATATCCATATTCACATAGTACACTCAACAAGAACAAGATAAAGCGAACAAAACATTTCAACCATCAAAATAATCAGTGAAATAGCAATTGTACCTGAGATAAAATTACTTGACCAAGAATTTCTCCATTGCCTCTCACCTGAAACCCCAACAATCAATTAAATTGGATATCACCTTCGCAAACTTCTCCACCAGCTACCCTTTCACTGAAGAACTAAGATAGCGACGCTCCAAAAACTTCACGGCTTCACCATTTCACCATTACAATGTGCTCTGTATTTTAGTAAGAAATTAAACAGTCCTTATCCTTTTATAAAGTATAAATCGTAACCTCAAAAAAATTCAAATTTCCATTTTAAAACCCAAAAAATCCAAATTTCATTTTTACAAACCCTAACATAAGAAATAGAACAGAAAAATCCAAATTTCACTAAGGGTCCTACCCCTCCAACCTTCTGCTACCCCTATATCCTTCCTTGCCCTTCATTATGTGCATGCAGTTGCAATTTTCTATCTCCTCTATCCACTCTCCATAGCAATAGTATTCACTTTAGTAATATAAGAAGAGATGAAGTTCTTAGATAACTCCATTCTAATAGTAACCTATTTCTAAACAGAATATATCCTATCCATCCCTAAGCAATATTTTATATTCTACTACAATCAACAACAAAAAAAGCATAATATCTATAAATGTACCCATGGCATTATAATTGATTAAATTCTCAAGAAGACTTGATAATGATCACCATGACCTGCTTGTATGATATTTACAACACGAACTATTCTCACACTACACCTCTTGCAAAGAGCATCAATTATCTGCAATTTCAAAAGTGGGAAAACATTTAAAATTTTATGGAAACGATAACGTATAACAAAACTAAAGAGGAAAGTTCAATAATTATTAAGCATTAATAACACCAATTAACATGTGATTTGTATTATATTCTGAAACTTGTAACATTTTAAAAACCCACATTAGACAACAACCAGAGTTTCATTACCAAAGAATTATCACATCATGTTTGTTCTGATCTGAACGCTTGGAATTGAAATAGATCAAACAAGAGTTAATTAAAAGAAACGCTAAAGGCTTATTAGACACTTAAATTCAACCTACTTACCAACATTCATATAATGAAAGAGTTCAAGAAAAAGACAATGAGCAGAGTAAACTAGCCAATAAAATACACATGCAGAATTAAAAAAAGGGAAGCATGGTGAAGACTGCAACTAAGATACATCATAATATATTGTAGTCTTCTATCACACACTAAAAAATGTACAGGAAGATATATTAAAGGGCTCACCGAAGCTCTTTTGGGCAATGTAGTAAATATTCCTACAGCTTGCCACCACGTCTCTATCTCAACTACACCACTCCTGCACCACATATAAGACATGTCATTGAATAACATGACCTGAAAAACCCCAACAGTAATAGAAAAAGTAAACATACCAAGCTATATATCAGTATATCTCAATGTGCATGCACACAATCACCCATATGAGATGAAGATTTCTTTATTTTTAAAGACAATGAGATGAAGCTTTCTCATGGTAGGGATTGTTGCAAATCCACCAGTTGAGAATCCAACACTTAATGCATGGTTGCACCCCACTTCCTACATTACAAAGATCCCTTTTAACATTAAAATAGAATAAAATATAGTTTTCATAAAGTGAATCCCCTAAGAGAACATATCTCCTAACACCACTAATACAATAGTTATTTTCCAAATTGATACCAGTATCACGTATCTACGGATAATAGAAGATGTCAGGAAATGAAAGGAAGAATCAGTTCATGGAAGATGCATAAAGGATTACCAGCACAATGTTACACAATGAATGTAACACAGATTAAATAATAATCATAGACATGATCAAATGAGTCTTAATTCAAAATTTGGCATTTACATAGTACAAATTTTCAAAGGTTCAGGTTCAGTATCTCTTGATACTACGGGTCACAACGATCTTGTCATTTGTTCCTTGAAATATAAAATGTCTAAGCTCTTAGCGTAACAGAAATAAGATGTTATTGCATGCTTCTGTGAACCATAATCACACTCACAGCCATTGACAAGAACAAAAAGTAATAACTTAAACGTCCTTGCAAATGACATCACTACAAAGAATCAACTGGAAAACCATACATTAGAAACTTTATAATCAATCTTATTTTAACTGTTGTCACCAAAATTCCAACAAAACTGTCATTTATGAAATAAAATCTCCTCTAAAGGATAAACTGCCATATTCAAGTCCTCGAGGCTCAAATCTAATGCATAAAACAGCCTTACATCAAAATCATAAACCAAGATGGTTGGTCCATATGATAAATTAATCTTAAATTTGAGAGATTTCCAACATCTATGAATCCTGATTGATACCTAAACAACAAATAACTGACACTAATTCATACTCCGAATCGCTAAAACTTTGTAATTCAAATTCAATAATTACCACAAATAATTTTAACAACCCATAATACAAATTTACCAATAAACATGTAAAAATCCAAAATTTAGACAAACTCATTAATCTAGTTTCTACTACAATTCGTAAACCAAAACTTCATCAAATCCAAAATTCAACATATTACCACTCATAAACTTGATCAAACCCATAATGCAAAAATTATCAATTATCCATGGACCAACCAAAATCAAATATGCTTCATTATTCCAAATTCACAACTCAAAGGCCAAAATTAACCAAACCCATACTTCCAATTCAACAGATTACTACTCCAAACCCAAATTTAACTGTATACATTTCTAAATTCACCGAAAATAAACCATTGGGACCAATCTTAACACCCCATTTTATCATTTAGCCCTTCTTCACCATTTCATTACTAAACTAAACAATTTAGTGACATAAGATAATGCTAATTCTATAGTACTTCATAACAACATGCTCAATAAAACAGAAGAACAAAACAAAACCAAATAATTTGATGAAAATTTTCAAAAAACAAATAAATTTTACCTTCTCAAGCATCATTAAACTCTCCTCCCATGAGAGTATTACCCCTAGCCGACCTCTGACCACCGTAATATAATTTCTTTACAATAATAGCATTAAAGAGCTCATTGTTCAAAATAATCAAGGAAAATACAACATAAAGTATATAACACAGTAAACTCACATTGACTAAATTGTATAAAAAAAGATGACAATAATCAGTCACATTTAGAATATAAGCAATCCATCATTACTTTCTCCAAATTCAATTGCCCAAACATAAAACAACAAAATCATCAGACAAAACTAACATAGATTTACAAAGCATAATTACTAACAAGGATATATCTGGAATCAACCCACGAACAGAGCAAAATTCTAGCTGAATAATATAGGTAAAACTAATAAAACCAAGAATTGAGGTTCTCACTTTGTTCTGGATAGAAAAATTGATGAAATTGGTATCAACTATAACCCGATAAGGCATCCCAAAACGGTAAATAAGGCGGATGATACATTAGGCCTAATTCACACCCACAAAAACAACAATAAAATTATCATGAAATTCGTTTATACCCAATAATTATAACTGCTTAAATAAATTGAAGAATTTAGGAAGCTTACACATTTCCAGGAAGAATAGCGGATTCAAGGTCTTTCTTGTAGGGGTTTAATACGTCTTGCTTATGCCTGAATTTGAATAAAACAATAGACAATTGAAGAGTGAGTACATGTTAATTAATGTAAAGAAAGAAATAGAGAGGAAGAGAGAGAATTAGTACCTATTTTGGAAGTGAAGAGCTTCTTCCTGACGCCAAATTTGGGGCTTTTTTTAGCTTTTCCCATTAATTCGTCATCAAATTTTGCCTCAATTGAAACATTTTCTCCTGAATGACTTCTTCTATGCCCCCCATCTAAATCAACAGCAGCCTCCGTTGCTAAGTTCTGGTCGGAGAGGCTCTTAAATAGTCGCAAGTATACCTAGCCTACTATGTGCTATGAAAGATGAGATGAGAAAGGAAACTTACGCAAACACGAGTTGCGATGAAGAAGAAGATCTGGAGATGTTGATGCTTTTCCGATTGAATTTTCAGTAAGTTGAAGAATGGATAAGCCCTAGAAAATTGTTGGAGAGGAGAAGCTAGGAGAGTGAAACTGAGATGACTGTAATTCAGAGCAAAAGAAAAAATAACAAGAAAAAAATGAAAGGTAGTGAGGAAGAGTAGGATAAAGAAAGGACATGGGTAGCCATCAGTCCAAGAGCTCACACAGCAACTTAATTTCGTGGCAAGGGGTAGTTTGGGCATAGCACTGTAGATAAGCTACAGTAGCACTTCCCACTTTTTAAAGGGTTTTAGATTCGTGCTTCCTCTAAAGGTAGGTAGCGATCCCCATATGCGGGTTTGTTTAGGTGTGTTGGTAAGTTCTTTTAGGTTGTAATAGTGCGTTTATTTATATAGTTCTCTTTGTCAAAAAAAAAAAAAAAAAAAAGCCATTTAGGCCTCAGTCTTTTAAATTAGCAGTTGTGGTTTTTTTAAGCTATTAGAGTAGGTTATACTAGTTGTGACTGTTAGCTATAAAACAGGCATTCAAAATATGAGTGTTTGGAATATTAGAAGTTAAATTTATGTACTTCGTAATATATGTAGGTTATTTTACCATCATATGTTAACTTTCATCCTCCTTGTATTTTGACATATAAACTAGTTATTGGTCCGGGCGATACCCTGGTATTTATAAATTTTATCAAAATTAATTAAAATAAGGTTAATATTGAACAATTATAATTGAGTAAGTGAAAATATAATAATTTAAACTATTATTTTTCATTAATATTTATATTTTAAATGTCAAATATAAATATGAAGGTTATACATATGAATAGTTTTTGAAGTAAATAAATCATTAATATAGAGAATTAAAATTATACTAATGAAGAGTTTTTAAATTAATTACACATCATTGCATTTCAATGCGGTGAGAAATGAGTGTTACACATAGGATGACACATAGCGCACATGTGGCACCAAATAATAATAATGGTACACATGGCGTTAGCATGTTAATTCCATGAGTTTTAATAATAATATATAAAGGGAGGCAACTTAGGAGAAGGACCAATTTTTCAAGTCGATTTTTATACTACACATATTATTTTCAAGCAACATTGCCACTTCAACAATAACAACAAAAGTTTAAAAGTTTGTGAAGAGCTAGTCAAACACTACTTGTACGCCTAACCAGTAACCACCACCTTAGACACTATGGAGTACTTAGCCAAACAGTCATATTTCTAACTAGTATATTGAATTATTGATGATCATGTCAAACCTCAAATCGTTACTTTAAAAACAATTGCCAAACAAGGCCTATCCTTAATTATTAGCACAATTCATCAATTCTTACTCCGTACTTATCTAAATTTAAAAATGCAAAAGTATCAAAGGGGAAAAAGAAAACACACTTGGCATCAAGAAAAAAAACGAAGCAGGAAGCCATTTGAGGCCATTGGTGAGATACTCGACATGGTTATCACTCGCAATTTCCATCATGAACACAAAGGCAATAAGCGATTGAGAATCAGAACAAAAAATTATACTTTATACGAAAATATAGAAACTGATAGAATATGTTAAATATTCTCGATATTATTTTGTATAGAAAGATATAGTTTGATAATATTCTATAATTATCTTGTGAGATCTCCTAACGTGTTTAGGGATCACTCTTGTAACCCTATATATATTTGATCAATGGAATCACTCCAATCTGAGGAGTTTTACACAAAATCTAACATGGTATGACAGCACAGGTTTTGATCAAACCTCGTTTCCGCAAAAAAAAAAAATTATCTTCCTCATACTAGCCGACCACCTCCCTATACACTGTAGCTTCCCCTAGCCGCCCACCATGACCAAGGAAGACGGTGATAATTCATCTTCCTCTGACTATCTCTTGCCTTTGGAGTGAATAACATCAAGAATGTAATCCCCATGATTCTTGATCGTGACAAGGTCCAATATTCAAATTGGGTTGAACTCTTTGAATGTCATGCTAATGCTTACAACGTTTTAGATCATATTGACCTAAAAACTTCACGGCCTACAGGTTTATCGGATGATATATGGAAGAGACTTGATTCAATTGTTATAAACTGGATTTATGGCACAATCTCTCGTGATTTGCTTGAAACAATTTTGTGCAAGGGAGCCACGGCTCAAGAAATTTGGGATAAGCTCAAGGCGATTTTTCAAGATAATAAAACTACTAGGGCGGTATATCTTGAAAATCAATTCAATGCTTTACATCTCTCCAATTTTAATGGCATCTCTTCTTAGTGTCGTGAGTTGAAGAACTTGAAGGATCAATTGGCCAGTGTTGATCAAGCGGTGTCGGAGCAAAATATGGTGATTAGGTTGGTCTCGGGTCTTATAGGTACTGATTTGGACACCGTTGCTGCCATTATCCAACAATCAGACCCGCTGCCATCTTTTGAAACTGCTCGATCTCGTCTTCTTCTTGAGGAGTCGAGGCGTGCCAATGATAATAGTGCTTCCGCGTCTTCCTTTGTAGCCCAATCAAGCAATTCGAGCTCTGCTAGCACCACCACCGTGCCACCCCAACAGCAGCAGCAGCCGGGTGGTAGGGGTGGCGGCATAGGTGGACGCGACAGGGGACGTGGCTGTGAACGGGGCAAGGGTCGTGATCGTGGACAACCGCAACAGCAGCAACAACCCCCACCCCAGCAGCAAGGTGCGCCTATGTGGGGGGTGCTCCGCAACAGCAGTGGGAAGGGACAGCAGGTCAGCATGCCCTGCAATGGGGCTACGCTCCCTATCCGCACCCACAACAGTGGGCAGCCCCGAAACCCGCCTTCCCACAGCAGCTGCAGCATTTTAAGTAGCAGCAAGCCCACTTCACACGCCCCTTGCCGCAGCAACAACAATATCAAGGTCGAAATTCACAGTACGGTGCTACAATGACTCCGGCCGAGCTAGGCAACGCCTTTGCAACTATGAGCTTGCCAAATTACGACCCATCTTGGTACATGGACTCCGGAGCCATTTCCCACATGACCAATCAATCCGGTAATCTCTTAACCCTCTTTAATTTAAGCACTCATAATTATATTCAAGTGGGTAACGCTCAACGCATTCCAATAACGGGTTATCACTACTAAAAAACCAGTGAATTGCGACCGCCAGTGCCGGTCGCAAATTATGAGGAAAACGGTCGCTATTTGGAATTGCGACCGTCACCGGTCGCAAAGGCGCAGTCCTTATTTAATTGGTCGCAAAAAACAAAAAATTGCGTCCACTTGGCGATCGCAGATCAAATTGCGACCGTTTTTCATATTTTCAACGACCGTTTTTTAAGCTGACGTAATTGGTTATTTGCGACAGGCAAAGCGGTCGCAATTGTTGAAAATTACGACCGCCTAAGACGGTCGCAAAATCCTGCGATCTGCGACAGGTCGTGACGGTCGCAATAGTCAGAAAATTACGACCGCCTAAGACGGTCGCAAAAACGTGGGATCTGCGACAGGGTACTGGCGGTCGCAATATTTAGAAAATTACGACAGGCAGCTAAACGGTCGCAATTTCTCATAGAATTGCGACTGAGCAGGGCGGTCACAATTTATTAAGTCTGCGACAGGTATAGACGGTCGCAATTTATTAAATCTGCGACAGGTATAGACGGTCGCAAATATGATATTATTATAATGCAATTTTCATATCATTACAATTTGCATTATCGATGTCATCCTAACCTGAACCTATAACTTGTTATCATGTGAATTAATTTTAAAATTAATATAAAATAAAAATAAAATGCATAATTCATATAGATAATAATATTAATAATTAAAAAGTCCAACTTCGAACAATACATACAATAACAATGTTCAAGTTAATAATAATAGTAATTAGTTAGTAATAGTTTTATAAGCTTAACTTTAAAACTAAGTTAGGCCTATATGAATAATTAATGGCCTATGTTCCTTCAAAAAATAGATAAGGCCAACATGTGACAATATAATATCAATTTCAGGCCTATATTCTCCAAATAAATAACGAAATGGCCTATATCCCCCAAAAAAACAAACCTAAGGCCTATATTCCCAAAAAAAAAACCTAAGGCCTATATTCCCCCAAAAAAAATACTAAGGCCTATATCAACAATACTAATGTAAGAGCTTTATGAACAAAAACTACGACACCGGAGTCTGGTGACCAAGCCCACCACCAGTCATGTCCGGGTCATCTTCCCTACGAAACTGAAATGGAGGACCACCTGAACAGTTAGAGAACAAGTTCTGCAACATCGTCTCCATCATTCTCTTACTCTCAATTGCCGCCTCCTCCTGCTCTTTCTTCAATGCCTCCTGCAATTGCGTAGCAAACTGTGCCTCCATCTGTGCCTGCATTTGCACTTTTGCCTCCTCTATTCGCTCGGCAACCTCGGCTTGCACACGTTCCTCCAACTGTGAAGGCGTGAAGCTATAGAAGGATTGTACGATTGCAGCCTTTCTCGGAAGAGGGGCTATAAATTAAAACAAACTAGCACTTGCACCTAGGCCCTTCACTACACCCTTTTTCCTACCACCAACGGCCTCCCAGTATAGCTGGTTAGGGCCCGGTTGTGACCCTTCTTGAGTGGAAGACTCGTCAAGCTTCTTTTGGTAGGCTTCCTGAAATCAAACAAATCAAATTTTGCATATTAAACATGTTTATAGGTTCAAATTGCTTTCAAGCATTTACAAGGCTATAGGTTTACAACTTGGCTTAAATGGCCTTCTAACTTACCCACTTTTTTTTTTGATATATTCTAAGATTTTATCAATCAAATAACTCATATTTATCTTACAAAACATGTTTATAGGTTCAAATTGGTTAATCATAGAGATTTTCATGCAGATTCAAGGCTATAGGTTCATGATTAGGCTAAAATGGCATAAATTACCTTCTAACTTACCCATTTTCTTTGTTTATGCTATATTCTAAGATTTTATCAATCAAACAAATCAAATTTATCATAAAAAACATGTTTATAGGTTCAAATTGGTTAATCATAGGCATTTTCAAGCATTTACAAGGCTATATGTTCACAACTAGGCTAAAATGGCTTAAATGGCCTTCTAACTTAACCATTTTCTTTGTGTTTGATATATTCTAAGATTTTATCAATCAAACAACTCATATTTAGCATACAAAACATGTTTATAGGTTCAAATTGGTTAATCATAGAGATTTTCATGCATATTCAAGGCTATAGGTTCATGACTAGGCTAAAATGGCATAAATGACCTTCTAACTTACCCATTTTTTTGTTTATGCTATATTCTAAGATTTTATCAATCAAATAACTCATATTTAGCATAAAAAACATGTTTATAGGTTCAAATTGGTTAATCATAGACATTTTCAAGCATTTACAAGGCTATAGGTTCACAACTTGGCTAAAATGGCTTAAATGGCCTTCTAACTTACCCATTTTCTTTGTGTTTGATATATTCTACGATTTTTTATCAATCAAACAACTCATATTTAGCATAAAAACATGTTTATAGGTTCAAATTGGTTAATCATAGAGATTTTCATGCATATTCAAGACTATAGGTTAATGACTAGACTAAAATGGCATAAATGACCTTCTAACTTACCCGTTTTCTTTGTTTATGCTATATTCTAAGATTTTATCAATCAAAAAACTCATATTTAGCATATTAAACATGTTTATAGGTTCAAATTGCAAAAACTTACACATTTTCATGCATATTCATGGCTATAGGTTCATGACTAGGCTAAAATGGCATAAACGGCATTCTAACTTAGCCATTTTCTTTGTTTTTGCTATATTTTAAGATTTTATCAATCAAACAACTCATATTTAGCATATTAAACATGTTTATAGGTTCAAATTGCAAAAACATACACATTTTCATGCATATTCATGGCTATAGGTTCATGACTAGGCTAAAATGGCATAAATGGCATTCTAACTTAGCCATTTTCTTTGTTTTTGCTATATTTTAATATTTTATCAATCAAACAACTCATATTTAGCATATTAAACATGTTTATAGGTTCAAATTGCAAAAACTTACACATTTTCATGCATATTCATGGCTATAGGTTCATGACTAGGCTAAAATGGCATAAATGGCATTCTAACTTAGCCTTTTTCTTTGTTTTTGCTATATTTTAAGATTTTATCAATCAAACAACTCATATTTAGCATACAAAATATGTTTATAGGCATAAATTGCTAAAACATACACATTTTCAAGCATATACAAGGCTATAGGTTTATAACTATGCTAAAATGGCTTAAATGGCCTTGTAACTTACCCATTTTCTTTGTTTTTGATATGTTCTAAGAGTTTGTCATTCAAAAAACACATTATTTTCCAAATTTAGGTGCCTCAAATTTTAAATCACAAGTATAAGTGCCTATGTTATGCTTGCTTCCTTAAAAAATAATTTCATTAGTTTCCAAAGTTAGATGTGTTACCGAGATTTGTTATGCCCTCTTGTTAGCCGCAACTTTTCCTTTTCTTGGAACTTCCTTGAAATGTGTCTTTAGGAACACCTCAGGGGCAGTTGGAAGCACTCCACCGGCTTTCTGAACCTGCACAAATCAAATAACTCCTTAAATGCTTAGTGTATGTAACTACTAAAATTTATCATTATCATTATATAACATTAAGTATTACCATTTTCTTTGCATGCTTTGAGGCAGAGATAGAACCTTGGAAGTGTGACAGCTCAATTGGATTATACAAGGAGCCGCCCCTCCTGTTCTTCTTCGCTTTTTCAGACCTCTTGTAATAAGTAACCAACAAACAACAAAGTTAGATGAGTAAAATAAACTTGGGGGTTTTATAATACCGTAAACGAGTTCCACCAATGGGTCTTAGTAACCTTGTCAACCATTTCATATTTAAGCCATGGTTCGCGCCAATGTGCTTGAAAAATATTTGTAATGGAGGTGCTCACGGTGTTATCATCGAACCTTTGTACCAATAAGCAAACAAATGAAGTCATTACATACAAATCTAACCAAGATTGTTCAAGTTGGAATGCAAATTAAGATGACCATGAGTAACTTACCATAACCCCGTCGGGTGCAAAGTCCTTCTCGCAACGGGGGTAGGTACCTCACCCATGGGAGAGTTACCGTCTTGCGTCTGAGGAACCTGAGTAGATGTCCTAGAACCACCTACATATGACTCAAAGGATGGGGTAACTTCCAGAGAAGTTTCCGTATTTGCATGGCTTGTCGACGAAAACAATTCTCTCGGGGTGGCATGTCCCAGCTTCCGACGACCACCACCGGCCATGACAACCTACAATAAGAAAAACATTATGAATATCGGTAAAAATCATATAGCCATGTTATATCACGATCTATAAGCTATTGTCACACATAACCTTGGCTTTGCAAAATATAAATAATAACATATTCACACAAGTATATCACATTGAAACTAGGATGGTCTTTTAAAATAAATTGAAATCCATTAAGATTACATAATTAAAAAGTCAAAACAAGGTTACAATCAATCTCCTAAATCTCAGTTGAATCATCCTCCCCATCAGCACTAAGATCATCATCGGTATCATCATCCCAAAATCCGTCATCCTCATCCTCGTCCTCACTATCAGTAGATTTGAAACTAGACTCATCTGGAGGGGCATCAGGCAACACTTCATTTTCAGTATCCGAATCTCCAAATCCATCTTCATCACCTTCATAGTCCGGAACGTCATCCGGAGCACAAAGAGTTGGAATGTCAGCACTGGTTTCTTGTAGAAAGTCTTCGTCAACTGGTGCATCAACAACAGACCTCGCCTTTGTCTTGAACACTTCCCACCTTTGAGCCTTGTCTCTTTTCAGACTTGGGTAAGGTGCATAATAGACTTGGTTTGCTTGGTAAGAAAGCACAAATGGATCGTACTTGGGGTATTTTTTGGTATGATTGACTTCTACAAGCTTGTATTGATCAATGTTCATACCCCTAGTGGAATCCATTCAACTGCACTTTGAAAAGAACAGTCTTATAAGTCCGTAGGGCACTAGTGAACTCCAACTCGATGATATCCTCTAGAAACCCAAAATAATCACCACCATCTTCATTGGATACACTTACTCTATAATTCATTGTTGACTTATGTTTTCCATGGCCATAAGTTTGGAATTTGTATCCATTCACATAGAATTGGCTCCAAGTACGCACTCGCTTAGATGGGCCCATAGCCAAAGCAAACAATATTTCATCATTTGGCTTTTCTTGAATCACCTACTCATATGGCATAATTATATTAATAAATTGATATTAGTCGTGAAGTTATAGAAACAAAGTAAGAAAACGTGTTGATGTCAAATGCGTATCATACTCATTTTCAACCTAAACCACTCGAGGAATTCAGCTTCATGTTTAATCCACACATCTTCTTTGCGAATAGTGGGTTGCATTTAAAAAATGTGGTCCTCAAACCCCCTTCCATATAACCAGAGAAAGAGTATTAATGAAGGTGGTCGACATTGGATACGATGTAAAATTCAATGAAATCTTAGTGAGTGTGATAATTTACAAATTTAATACTTCTCATATGGTTCCAGAATACCGCTATTTCCCAAAACATATAAATGGGCACGTTGTAGTTCTTTTTCATCCAAATAGCGACGAACTCCACCAGTAGAAGCATGTCCATGATCAACCCTAAACAGTTCTAGAACACTATCATCCAAAGTGCTTTCAACATCATCATGAACATTTCACATTCTTTATTAAGAGATTTAAACATATGTTATGTCACATGCTTCTAACTTGATAAATACTTATAATTTTTACAACATGTTTTCTAAAATACTTATTATTTATATTTTACAATATTGATTAAATTATTTATAACTTACACTAAAAAATTATATTTATACCATTTCAAAGTAAATTGATGTAACATTAATAAAATAAAAGAAGCAATATGATTTGTATAGTTAACAAAGATGGGAGTTTGATAACAAAAATCAAAATATAAAAATATAAAATAAAACAACTACATGTAACCTTTCATGAAAAAACAAAATAATTTACAAAATACATTATAGAACCATAATACAAATTAATGTTCAAAAGATTATCATAACCCCTTAAACATACATATTTCTAATAAAGCCATTGTAATTCAATAAGAATCATTTTTTTAAAAACGAAAACTAAAATTATCCAACACATGAGTTCATACCATCCAATAGTCCTACATTGGACATAAAGCAAAATAAATTCCTATTCCAACCAAAACACATCCAAGTTCTAGCCTACGCACAATAAAGCGTAAAAAAATCCAACAATGAACCAAGCTATCAATAGCAAACCTCTTGCTAATACTAAACTGACCATATAAGAATCACTAAACCCGCTTAAACAAGTAGCATATTGACAAAGTAAAGCAATGATAATAAACTGAAATCAAAATGCATCTAATAAGGATTTTTTTAAAAAAAAATTTAGATCACAACTCCATAAACAACTAACATAAATATGAATCATATTGCACAAGTAAAAGAAGTAGTTAAATAATAAGGGAAGAAAAACACACAGCGGAGGAATTGACCAGAATTGACCAGAAAAGCAGAGGCGGCGACGAAGGTGGTCCTGGTATATGGTGGTGTTACACTTTTAGGTAGGGTATTTATAAAAAAAAATTAAAATGAAAAAAATAAATAACTACACACGACTTACCTGGTGGCGGCGATGGAAAACGACAGAAAAAGGAGAAGGGACGAGCGGAAGAGGAATCCGGCGACGATGGAGCTGCAAAGGGGGTTAATTTGCGACTCACAATTAGCTATTTCAAATTAAATAACGAAATTAAAAAAAAAAAATCAACCAAAAGGTCAAGACTGAGAACATAGCTTTAATCAAAAGTTCAAGAGTTAAATTTCACCATATTTAACCAAAAATTAGCCGAAAAGGCTATTTATACTATTTAAAGAAAATATTCAACTATGTAGCCTGATATTAAAGTAATTACAATGAGATAAACCCATGTATTAATACACATTTACGATAAGGTAGCTTATTTGGAATGCACATTTACCATGTCTAATTCTTAACTAGTCATTATGAATCTTGTATATTAGATAAAATCATGTACAAATTCAACCGTAAATCTCAAAGCAAACAAAGTTACATGGCTTATTTAATCGATTCAAGACAGAAAAATTTCATTACATCCAAACTTAATCTCAAAAATAATGAACTAATATAATGGCTGCCCTGTTTTTCCATCTTAAATTACCTAATTTATGCATATTGATTTGCTTTAAAATGTTTTTGGTTGGATTTTACTTTCTTCTTTGGTTGGTTTCCTAACATACTTTCAAATTGTAATTTGCTCAGGTTTACAGAATATGCTTAACAATACGGGTGACACTGGGGGGAAATGTTTACAGTTTTGGGACATATTCTACTAGAGCTGCTTATAGGAAAGCAGGCCTATAGATTAATTAATGATAGTCAAATTACAGCCAAAGAACCAAGTATTCAGCTCACCATTTCCCATAAGAAAGTTCAAACTACTACTACTAAGGAAATTAAACATAATATTCAGGTTCATAACCTGAATATTCATCAGTCATTCATGATTATGCAATGCTATTATATGGGATATTGTTCAAATATCAATCAATGTCAATAGTTTAGTGCCAAGTTTTGCACAACATTATTGAGACAATACAATAAATGTACTAATCAATGTCCGATAACAGGAGAAAAAGACCAACATGTTCAAAATCAAGGTCTTGAAAAGATTTGTGTTTTTCAGACCAACAAATCGTGTTTCCCTACCATTACAATTTCACAAATTTGATGAAACATATATCATTAACATCATGATTATTTGAAACTAAAAGCATAAAAATCAGGTATCAGCAAGTAACAATCGCAAATTCACAATTCCACAAGCATTTAAGTAATAAACTGCTTTATTAATCAATCCACAATTGATCATTCAAAGAATGAAATAAGGTAATTAGTTCATCTAGGAAAAGAAAGAAAGAGAGAGAGAGAAGGCCATAAACACCCAAAAGGACCCTACAAGTCTGATTTTGACAAGACCAGAGTTAGTTGTTTTGAAAGAGCATACTCAAAAAAATATCAACATTAACGACTTGAAGTGAATTACTGAATAAAGCGTACAAGTGACTATTAACAAACCAGCAAGAAGTATATTTATATTCGTATATTATTCTTCGATTCGAGTTGTAATTGTGTATAGATCAACAACAGAAGAAGAATCTTAATCTAACATAAACCCAAGATTAAAAGCAAAGTACTAAAACCAACAATGAAATAAGCATGGTCTATGACCAAGAAAAATAAAACGACAAAGAATTCAAGCATTAGAAAGATTCACCAATAAAATCCATTTTTATATCACCAAAGGAAAAATAATTCATTTGTATGGGAAAAAGTTAAGTATGATGTGCCCAGATTTATTTCATAAAATAAAATTAGATAAACCTTTAATTCAAATAGTGGATCATGAAATCAACAGGAAGCACTTTAATTGAACCAGATTTCCAGCAAAAATTAGCAAACATACAATTAAATTACCATCGTAATAAACAAAAACAGTAAGTAATCTAACATGCTAAATTTCCATGTTCATTTTGATCGGGCATGTGAGATCTGTTGTATTGTCTATCTCTTTTGCAAGCCTTTTTTGCTTTATACTATGAATTACATATGTATTTTCAAATTGTTTATTCTCGATCTCTTAAATATTGGAATGCAGTATATGGGAGCACTCTACTATCAATATTACTTGTCAAAGCTAGACGATTGTTTATATACCATTCCTGATGGACTTAATTGTAGTCAAGTGCATAAAGAATGTGTTGCCAAACAAGATGAAATTAAGAATGGGATGCTTTCTGATGCGTTTGCTAATGAAATTGGCTTAAAGAGCTTCATTCAGAAAGTGATCTACTGCTTTGTTTGGGATACACTCGACAGAAAATACACTCAACAGAAAATAAATTTTTAAAAAATATAATAAATAAAAAAAAACCCAATAGCATGACTTACCTGATTATACTCGACGGGAGACGGAAGAGGCAAAGATAGAAGGAGGAAACCGGCGATGGTAGCCCTGCGAACGTTGATTTGTGACCCGATTTTAGGGTTTTCGCCCAAATTAACAAAAATTCATAACAAAATAATGATACCATCGACTTACCTGGATACCATCGTCGGAAAACAAAGGAGGGACGACCTGGAGGGGAATCCGGCGACGGTGGTCTGCGTGGGGGTTGAATTGAGACCCAAAGTTAGGGTTTTCGCACAAATTAATTAAACTAATAAAATAAAAAAAATAAAAATAAAACGGCATACCTGTGTGTAGCGTCGCTGGCCCGAGACTGGTCGTCGGTGGGAACAACGGCGGAGTAGCGACCGTCCTTGCTGTTCTCCCTCTTCCCCCTTCTTCTCTGATTCAAACTTCCTTTTCCCCTTCTGAAAATATGAAATCCCGATTTCATTTTAATTTGTGTTTTAAAATTTTACGACCGGTTAGACCGGTCGTAATTATTTTTTAAAAAAATTAAATTAAATAATTTTAACGACTGTTATAACGGCTGCAATTTATTAAAAAACGGTCACAATTAATTAAAATTACGCCAGGCTACGAAACGGTTGTAAATAATACTATTTGCGACCGTTTTTTGGATAGTCGCAAGAAAATAGTCGTAAAATCACCGAATTTTAGTAGTGTATGGTCATTCCACTATTGCTAATAAATCCCTTGCTTTATGTGATGTTTATTTAGCTCCACAAATTATCAAAAATTTAATTTTTGTTCGAAAATTTACTTCTGATAATTCTATGTCCAAAGAGTTTGACCCTAGTGGTTTTTCTGTGAAGGATCTTCGAACGGGGAGTCAGATAACCAAATGCAATAGTACGGGGGGATCTCTATCCTGTGACCACCGCTCCATCAACTTGTCTAGCCACTTCTCTCACAGCCTTGTCTCCTTCCACATGGCACAACCATCTAAGACATCCCGGGGCCCCTACCATAGATTTTCTTAAGAGTAGAAATTTGATTGTTTGTAATAAGGTGCATAACTCCAGTACTTGTGTTGGTTGTCAATTGGGAAAACATATACGCTTGCCTTTTTATCATTTTAATAGCACTGCTCATTCTGCTTTTGACATAATTCATGCCAATTTGTGGACTTCTCCTATTCGTAGTGACAAAGGTCACAAATATTATCTAGTGCTTTTAGATGATTTCTCTCATTATGTTTGGACTATTCCACTTTCTTATAAATCTCAAGTATTTCAAACCTTTCTTAATTTTCGACAATATGTTCTCACACAATTTGAACATATTAAATCCTTTCAAAGCGATCAGGTCGTGAATTTGATAATTATCCGTTAAAACTTTTTTGTGTCAAAAATGGGTTGGTTTTACGTTTCTCTTGTCCAAACACATCCTCACAAAATGGCAAAGCCGAAAGAATGATCCGTACGATTAACAACGTTAAGCGTCCTCTGCTATTCCATGCTTCCCTTCCACCTTCTATGTGGCACTAGGGTTGTTCATAACCGGATACCCGGCTTTTCGGGTACCCGCTTTTGTGAGTAGTTAAATGTTCGGCCCATGACCCGACCCGCGAAATTCGGGTACCCGGTTAACGGGTACCCAAAATTACCGGGTCAAATCTTAGGGTACCCGAATTAAAAAAAATTAAAATTAAACTTGCAATTGAATAAAGCCATACATTGTACAACAACAATGAAATTAATTCGCATATACTAATCAAAGAGAATAAAAAGTCAACCACCAATTTGCAAGAAATTGAGTAACAAACATAGAAAAATTATATGCAAAGCGACATTTATCAGTTTTTTCCGTATCATCTTGACCATTCATCTCACTTAAACTTGATATTGTGTTATCTCGACTATTGATCTCCGGGATTAGTCGAGATACACATTTAGAAATTTGAACGCACCGTTGCACCGTACTGTATACGCAGGAGAAGGCGACGATGGAAGCATTACGTTCATCAAAGATTCATTTTCAGTTTCTATATATCCTCGTCGGTAACGATTAATGTGTGTTCACGTTGTTTGGGGCTTTGAGGGAAATAAAGGTCGCCGGAGGACTAGATAATGCAGGTTTGTGGTGGATTAAGCGGTAAAAATTTGTAATTTTGATAGTTAGAGTTTTTGACGGGGTGAGATGAGAGACAAAGAGAGTGAGCGGCGCAAAGAGATAAATGATTGAGCATTAAAGTCGGCAAAACCTAGAGTAAAAATAATTATTTGGGTAATTGTTAGGTACCCATTTACTCAACATCCGGCCCATGACCCTACCCGGAACAAGAGTATTTTAGCGGGTCGGGTACCCAACCCAGAAAAATGTAAAAAATTATTAATTATCCGTCAGGTATTTTGCGGGTCAGCGGGTTATCGGGTCGGGTTTTTTGAACACCCCTATGTGGCACCATGCTTTTGAAACCGCAACATATTCGCTTAATATCTTTCCTACTAAAACACTCAATCAAATAACTCCGGCTCAATCTCTATTTGGGGTAGTTCCTTCCTATGATCATCTTCGGGTATTTGCGTGTCTTTGCTTTCCGAACTTGTCGGACACTATGCCTCATAAACTAGCACCTTGTTCCACTCCTTGCGTGTTTTTGGGTTACCCCTTCGATCATCGAGGTTATAGGTGTTTGGATCTCAATACAAATAAAATTTTCATCTCTCGTCATATTACATTTGATGAGAACACTCTTCCATTATCGCAGCATCTCTTTGTTTCGCCAAGTCGATTATGATTTTTTGTCTTCCGATGATCCATCACCCTATTTTTTACATCACACCGCTTTGCGTTCGATGCCCCAAAATCACCCAAACACACCCCACACCCACGAACAGCCTAGTCCGCAGGCAGGCCACAACACTCAGCCTCACACCGCAGCCAGCCTGCGGACCATCCTGCCTGACCCTGCTGCTCAGCACCCATCACACGCTGGAAACCCAGCAGGCCAGGTAGTGCTGTCAGGCACCCAGCCGCAACAGCAGGTAGTGCTGCCAGGCATCCTGGCGCACCACAGCCCAGCACAAGACCACGCAATGCAGCCTGGCAGCCCAACCACACTAACTCGTCCACCTCCTTCTCCAAAAATGCAAACTCGTTCCAAACACGACATTTTTAAACCGAACCCAAAATTCGGTCTTGCCATTACCACCCCGAGTCAACCAATAAACCAATCCCCGCTTCCCAAAAATCATAAACAAGCCCTTTCCGACCCAAATTGGAATGCTGTGATACTTGATGAATATAGTACTTTAATTAAAACGGGGACGTGGGAATTGGTCCCTAGACCTAAGGGGGTGAATATTGTTAATTGTATGTGGCTTTTTTGTCATAAATTGAATTCTAATGGTGATTTGGAATGACATAAAGCTCGTCTTGTTTGTAATGGTAAATCACAGGTTGAAGGTGTGGATTGTGATGAAACATTTAGTCCGGTTGTGAAACTGACTGCTATTCGCACGGTGCTGAGCTTGGCTTTGACTCATAAGTGGTCTATTCATCAACTTGATGTTAAAAATGCATTTTTACATGGTGATTTGAATGAGTGTGTGTATATGCATTAACCCCCGATTTTGTTGACAAGAGATTTCTAGGCTATGTTCGTAGACTCCATAAGGCTCTATATGGTCTAAAACAGGCTCCAAGGGCTTGGTATCAACAATTTGCTAACTTTCTATTGCAGATGGGGTTTGTCATTACTAAAAGTGACAACTCTTTACTCATTTTCAGACACGGGAATTATATGGCATACCTTCTTTTATATGTTGATGATATTATGTTGGTTACATCTTCAGATATGTTACGTGAGCGCATCATCTCTCACTTATGTACAGGGTTTCCAATGAATGATATAGGTCCTCTGAATTTTTTCTGGGCATTGTTGTCACTCGTACTCCATCATACTTGTTTCTGTCTCAGCAAAAATATGTACATGAAATATTAGAGTGCGTAAGTATGGCTAGCTGTAAACCTGCGACAACTCCAGTGGATACTCAATCCAAGCTTAGTGCGGAGTCAGGGCCGAAATGTCATGATCGAACACTTTATCGCAGTCTTGCAGGTGCATTTCAGTACCTAACATTCACTCGCCCAGATATAGCTTATGCAGTTCAACAGGTTTGTTTATTCATGCATGACCCGAGAGAGGCTCACTTTGATGCATGCATTGAAACTCATCCTGCAGTACATTCAGGGTACCATTGATCACGGGTTACACTTATCCTTCATCATCTTCGCAATTGATTACATATACTGATGCAGATTGGGGTGGGTGTCCTAACACTTGTCGGTCGACCTTAGAGTATTGTTGTTTTCTAGGTGACAATCTCATTTCCTGGTCGTCCACGCAACAGCCCACTCTTTCTAAATCAAGTGCAGAGGTTGAATATCGTGGCGTCGCAAATGTTGTTGCCGAGGCATGTTGGCTTCGTAATCTTCTTTTGGAGTTAATGTGTCCTCTTAGAAAGGCCATTGTTGTTTATTATAATAATGCCAGTGCCATTTATTTATATCATAACCCTGTACAACACTAACGCACCAAACACATCAAAATGGACACTCATTTCGTTCGACAAAAGGTGGAGTTGGGGCATGTACGGGTCTTGCACGTTCCTTCACATTATCAGTTTGCTGACATCTTCACGAAAGGCCTACCTCGACAACTATTTTTGGAGTTCCGTTTCAGTCTTAGCGTACGTCCTCCTCCCGCTGTGACTGCGGGGGTGTGATAGAATATGTTAAATATTCTCGATATTATTTTGTATAGAAGGATATAGTTTGTTAATATTCTATAATTATCTTGTGAGATCTCCTAATGTGTTTAGGGATCACTCTTGTAACCCTATATATATTTGATCAATGGAATCACTCCAATTTAAGGAGTTTTATACAAAATCTAACATAAACAAATAAATAAACAAAGAATTAAAGAATACATGATGGTTTGAGCTCTCCTAGGGAGATGATTGAAATGTTTGTAGATGCTAAACACTTTAGACTCGACCATCCCTTCCTCTCTCATTGTCACCGTGACGTTCGCTTGTGGTGCCGCCTCCATTGCTATAAGTGAAAAACATATTACCTCGCAAGTTGCTTTTCAAAAGCTTTGATTTTTTTTTCTATGATTTTTTTATCAAAATCTATGGTAATCAGACTGGGTATTTAAGTGAGAAAACAGATGACAGAGAAAAGGAGAGATAGGGTAAGAAGGATTGGTTCAAAAAAGAGAGATAAAGCAATTGAATGGTGGAGCAGGAAAAGGGGAAAGAGCAAGACTGAAGGTTGGACCGAAGTCAATCGGGAAATAAGAATAAGAAAAAAAAAATGGAGGCGGTATAAACGTCACTACACTATAGATTTAAAATAGTAACACTATAACCATGGTACACTCGGGATTGAAACTGTCATTTTACTTTTGTTTTTTTTAACAAAAATTGAAT